TGTTGCACCCTGGGGATGGAGGAAGGTCTTTGGGGTATGAGGCACTAACCCGCTATCTGTCGCCCAGACCGGCCTGGAGAAGATGGAGGGGGAGCTGCAGGAGGTGAACCGTAACCAGCAGGCCCTGAAACAGAACTTCCTGGAGCTGACAGAACTTAAACATCTCCTGAAGAAGACTCAGGGTTTCTTCGAGGTAAGATTTCCAAACACATTACTACTCGAATCTGTGTTCCATGCAGAGCTGGGGTGCTGGGTACAATCACTGGCAGGTATACAGTCTGCATGGTGTCTGTGTCCTCCCTGTCGTGGTCTGTACAGTCTGCATGGTGTCTGTGTCTCCTCCTTCTCTTGGTGTGTTCAGTCTGCGTGGTGTGTTTCCATAATGTTCACTTTTACATTATTATTCCTGATTTCGATATTGTCTTGCAGGCTGAAGCCAATTTGCCAGATGATTTCCTGAACGAAGACACAAGCAGCCTTTTGGAGCTCCGAACCATACCTACCGCAGCCGCTGCCGGGAAACTTGGGTAGGTTCAGGGGGCTGGTACCTGAGTGACCCCGCTGGCTTATAGAAAATACTGGTCAGGCCCACTTACTGTATTGGGTTAGGCTTCCCCTGTTTATAAGTGGCAGGTACACTTTGCCCTTGGACTGGGTGGTCAATCACCTCCCATGGAGACTGCTAGGTCACAGCAAGACAGGGCGAGGGCGAGCCAATTGTGAGTCACCAATGAGGCTGCATTCTAATTTCTGCACGTTTGCGTTTAGCCAATACACCAGCTCATGCCATGGAATTTCTTGTAGCAAATTCACATTCGGCCATTATTGTGCAAGACTTTAAAATTTCTTCATGGATTATGAATTACACATAATAATCGTTCGAAAAAATATGAATTAGAATGACAATATCTTATTATATCATTCAGTTAAAGAGAACTATGGGGTTAAGGCTTTTCCCCATAGTTCTCCTTAAGGTAACGGGAGGACACAAACTAGCGTCCTCCCTTCACCCTAAGCTCAGTATACCACGAGCTGCAGCTCGCCGTATACTGAGACGCCACAGCTGAAGCGGATCCCGACAATTGTGCCGGGATCTGCCCAGCTGTGTGAGTGACAGCTGGCTCTGCCTATCTAGAGGCAGAGCCACCTGTCCCCGCCTCCCCCCCCGTCCGATCCGCCAGTCAGCGCTGGCGGATCGGAGGGGAGAGGGGGAATCCAGCCCCTCCCCCTGTCACGGCAGAGAGCTTTGACAGGATCGAGAGGTGAGCGAATGCCGGTATGTGTTCGCTCACCTCCCGATCTACTGAGCCGACCTGTGACAGTCTCATTGTCACAGGTCGGCTAGAACTATGAGGTGAGTGAAAAGCACTCACCTCATTGTTCTCCTTTAAAGTAGTATTAAACTCTCAACCTTTTTTTAAAAATAATGAATCCATATCAATCAAATATGCAAAGTATTTCTTAGTATTTCTTTACAATTTGCCCAAGCACTTATAGTCATCATGTTTCAAAACAGCTCCAACTCTCTCAGCTCTGCTTCCCTAAACTTCCTGTCCAGTACAAGATCACAAGGTACAGAGCAGTCTGCAGCGGCCAGCCATCTAGCTTGGAGAAGGGAAATGGGAGGAGGAGGGGAGTGTCTTGCTTTGCTGTGTGTTTATGGAGACACAACAGCCTACTGGCACACGCAAGGGTGGCTCCATAGGACCCTGCAAGGGGAAGGAGCCACCCTAAAACAAGATATCAGGTCCAGTGCTCAAGGAACCAGCTGATTCTACCAGAAACTAAAACCTTTATACATCAAGGAACAGCATCCGTTGTAGGAGAATTAATCAGCATTTGAAATAGCTTAAAAACCTTTTGACTTCAATATCACTTTAAAAATGATTAATTGCCCAGGTTTTGGGAGATGTAACCAACATAAACCCACCTGAGCCCTCTTAACCATAAAGTGGACAATTCACTGACAGAGAAATGGAAATGGTGTTTCCACTGTCATCAGCTGTAATAAAGTGTTGCAAAATCATCTTTATTTTATAACGATATAAATTGTTCATAGAAATGTTTACTAAACCGTAAAACCCAAATAAATCAATAAATAACTGACCATGTGGTTATAGCGGGCAGATACTGCCATGTATCTCAGGAATCGCGTGGACAAGTCTGTCTCAGTAATTAAAGGAAAGGATCAGGTAATTAACTGCAAAAAAGTTTTATATATATAAATATATATATTAATGCATACACTGAGGAAAAGAATGATTTTGTAGGTTTGCCCACTTACAAAGCAATGAAAGGTCTATAATTTTTATCATAGGTGTATTTTAAATGATAGAGACAGAATATCAACCAAAAATCCAGAAAAATCACATGATACAAATTAGGGATGCACCGATATATCGGCCGCCGAAACATATCGGCTGAAAATGGCGCTTTTGGCATAATGCCGAAAGTGCCATTTTCCTGCCGATACATCGGAGCATCCCAGGTTTCTTTCTTCCCCGCTGGGTGCCGCTGTGTGTCCCAGCGGGGAGGAAAGTGTGACAGCCTGCAGGAGGAGAGCGCTGTGAGCGGCCGGCGTCTTCTCCCACACCGCTCAGCCTCCTATCACAGTTCGGCAGAGCAGTGTGGGGGTGGAGAGAGCGCTGTCACAGGAGGCTGAGCTCTCCTCCCTACACCGCTCAGCCTCCTGTGACAGTGTGTGTCAGAGAGGAGAGCGGTTACAAGCAGTCCGTGATCGCTGAGTGTTTGTAGATAATTGAGGACATGGTATGGTTACTATATCCTCAATTATGAATGAATGGGAAGTGATCTACATCACATCTACATCACCTCCTGTTCATTCACGATTGTGGCTATAGTAACCATACTCTGTCCTCATGTTATGAATAAACAGGAACTATAATTATTTTCCTCACTGTATATATATATATATATAAATATGAAAGATATGAAATAAAGTTGTCTTTTTTGCTCTCAGCAACACTGGAGTTTTGTTTAAAGAAAAGATGTCTTTGTAATATCACATTTCTTTCCTCCTCCTTTGATAAATAGGAGACATTGTATCTATGTATGGTAGGGGGACACATTGTGCACAGAAAGGTGACACCGCCAGGTCCAGCACTCATGAGTCTATCTGGGGGGTTTAAGATGTTTCTGTGTGAATTTGATAGACAATCTGTGTGTGTGTTTCCGTCTCTTGTCAATGTCTCTCTTGTCTCAGGTTCACAGCCGGGGTGATCGGAAGGGAGAGGATGCCTGCCTTTGAGAGACTGCTGTGGAGGGTCTGCAGAGGGAACATTTACCTGAAATACAGCGAGCTGGACACCATGCTGGAGGACCCGGTCACTGTAAGGAGCAGAACGTTACTGTATCTCATCTCTATACATTATTGGCTACTCTGGGCTCCCTCCTAGGGGCAATCATAAATAACAAATAATATATCTTATAATTCAAGCGAGTTTTGCATAGTCTGGCCACCCAAACACTTTTATTGTGCTAGTAACCAACTTTCTAAAAATTAAGTGGTCACATGACACCTTTACAGCACCAACTTTCATTTTGTCACATGATTGATCACATGGCACAATAACTTCAATGGCCCTACATGATCACATGACACCATTGCAATCCCAACTTTCTTTGCATTTGCTTTGAGTGATCACCTGACATCATTACACCCCCAGCTTTTCTACAATGGCTCTGATAAATCACATGATATTATGACATTCCCAGCTTTCTCTGCATTGGCTCTTAATGGTCACATGACATCATGACATTGCCAACTTTGTCTACAACGACAAAATCACATGATATAATTACACCTCTTCGTTTTTTCTGTCTTGGCTCTTAAGGACCACATGACATCATAACTCTCCCAGCTTTTTCTACATTGGCTTTGAATGATCACATGACATCATGACACAACCAGCTTTCTTATCATATATTGAGGTTGGTGTCACACAGTGTGGCAGAGTTAGATTGCATTGTTCCTCTTCTTTCTCACCGATCACTTATTTAAATTCTCTCTTCACACCTTACCAGAAAGAAGAGGTGAAGAAAAACGTCTTTATCATCTTCTATCAAGGGGACCAGCTCAAACAGAAAATAAAGAAGATATGTGAAGGGTGAGTGGTGACCCCCCAATAGGTGTGTCATCTAATGGTTCTTTTGACTGGTAATTGGGATAAAGAATTGTGCACCTTTGAGATGATACAAATCAATTATTATTAGGTATTTAAAGGAGAACGATGGGGCTTTTCCCCATAGTTCTCCTTAGGGTAACGGGAGGACACAAACCAGCGTCACCTTAAGCTCAGTATACCACGAGCTAAAGCTTGCTGTATACTAAGACGCCGCAGTATATTCCGCGAGCTACAGCTCACGGTATACTCAGACGCCACAGCTGAAGCGGATCCCGACAATTATGTCTGGATTCGCCCAGCTGCGTGAGTGAACAGCTGGCTCTGCCTATCTAGAGGCAGAGCCACCTGTACCCGCCCCCTCCCCCGTCCGTTCCGCCAGTCAGCGCTGGAGGATCGGAACTGGGGGAATCCAGCCCCTCCCCTGTCACAGCAGAGAGCCGTGACAGGATCGGGAGGTGAGCGAACGCCGGTATGTGTTCGCTCACTTCCCGATCTACTGAGCCGACCTGTGACAGTCTCATTGTCACAGGTCAGCTAGAACTATGAGGTGAGTCCTTTAATAGTAAATACTTATTTGCTATGCTCCTCAGCCCCATATAGTGGCCACAATGTATTATTGCAACACACTACATTCCAACAGATAAACAATATTAATAACATATGTTTTTGCCATTATTTGCCCAACATAAATAAACATTCACAGGTGTCTTTATGTACACTATTTGGCCAAAAGTACACAGACCTCTCCAAACAATTGGGTTCTGGTGTTTCCATTGAAGGGTAAAGGTAATACTAGAGCATACAAAGACATCCTTGTGGTAACAGTTTGGTAAGGGCCCTTTTTTTGTTCCAGCATGGTTGTGCCCCTGCGTACAAAGCCAGCTCCATAAAAGCATGGTCTGACCAGTCTGATGTGGAGGAACTTGGGTGCCCTGCACAGAACCCTGACTTCAACCCTACTGAACAACTTTGGGATGAATTGGAATGCCACCTGAGAGCCAGGTCTTCATATCCAACATCAATACCTGACCTCATAAATGGGCACAAATTCTCACAGACACTCCAAAATCTTGTGGAGAAACTTTCTAGGAGAGTTGAGCCGGTTATAGCCACAAAATGGAAAACTAACTCCATATTAATATCCATGAATTAAGATTGGGATGTCCGACTTTAGGATCTTGGCATCATTACTGACAGCTCAGAGAGAGGTCATCAGACGGGCCCCATCACATTTTTGTCATAGGGCCCTGTGATCGGTAATTACGGCCCTGAACAAGCTCATATAGCTGTGATGCTCAGGGGTATACAGACTCTTGGCCATACAGTGTATTTTGGATGATTTGATGCTGTTTGTCGCTGTTAGTTCCATATTATAAAACCTCTCCAAGTAATTGATATCTGTCATGGAACACACTTCTGTTTGTAATGTAACTGTCTAATCTATAGCTGGTGTATCAGCGTGATCCTAAGTTCACAATGTACTTTTTTTTCTTCTATACAGTTTTAAAGCCACAGTCTATCCTTGCCCAGAGAATGCCAGTGAGCGGAGAGACATGGCGGCTGATGTGAACACCAGGATTGAGGATTTAAATTCAGTAAGTGAGCAACAGAGACCCTGATAAGACTTATTGCAGATTAACCCAACACTGTCTATGGGAACTAAAAGTACTAAGTTTGGGGAAACATTTACAGAATACACTATTAGGATTTATGTTGCAAAAAATGAAGAAGTTACTCTTGAAAATGGACTCATATTCTCCTGAGTTATATTTTTCATCAAGTGGTTTTTAAGCTCCATATTCCATGTCTGATGTGGGTTCAGTTGATCTTTATACATTGTATTTTGTAGGTCAGTACATTGTAACTGCATCTCCCTGCAGGTCATCACCCAAACTGAATCCCACCGTCAGCGTGTCCTGCTGGAGGCGTCCCAGAATATCAGCATCTGGACTATTAAAGTGAAGAAAATGAAGGCGGTGTACCATGTACTGAACCTGTGCAACATTGACGTGACCCAGCAGTGCGTCATCGCTGAAATTTGGTGCCCCGTGGCTGACAAGGAGCGCATCAAACGATCATTGCACCTGGGCATGGTGAGTGTACATAGAGACATGGATATATTTCATTATGTATGGTATAACTTATATCTGGAGAGAGGTGATGTCACTCCTGTATAATATAACTTATATCTGGAGAGCGGTGATGTCACTCCTGTATGATATAACTTATATCTGGAGAGCGGTGATGTCACTGCTGTATGATATAACTTATATCCGGAGAGCGGTGATGTCACTCCTGTATGATATAACCTATATCTTGTTCTTACTGCAGGAACGCAGCGGTTCCACCATCCCTCCCATTCTCACCAACATTCCCACCAAGATGGAGCCACCAACCTTCAATCGCATCAACAAATTCACTGCCGGCTTTCAGAACATTGTAGACGCCTATGGAGTTGGAAACTATAGAGAGATGAACCCAAGTGAGTCCAAAACTGTGAAAATGTCATAAAAACCTATTAAACATTCTGTTCTCAGGGTGGTATTGGTGAGATCCCTCTCCCATATACCCAGTGGGCTCTACTGACATCATTCTAATACAACTGGCATCAAAAGATAACCCCAGTGCAAGGTACTGTACATCTAATAATTAAATATTGTACATGTGGAATACATTTAAAAATTGAAGCTATATGTAGCTCTGCTTGCTGCTACGCATGTCAGTGTTGGGGCTGGACCAAGACACAGTAACCCTCCCGCTGACTCCAGGGCATCATAAATTATCCTCCCTCCTGGAGGCCCATCTAAATACCTCCCACCTATTAGTTTACAAAGCAGCCACTCCCACTGAAAGACTGATTTCATTTCAGCTTTCATGTGTTGTGCAGCTGCACAGATACAACAAGACATTTCTGATGATTACAGTAGCCGAATTTAGAAAAAAATCTTATTACTGTTAAAAGTAGGGCTGCACCGATACCAAGTACCGTACTCGGTACAAGTACAAATACTTTTCCAGCTCTGAGACTAGACTAGAGAAAAATTCCAAAGTTAGGAGGCCGCTGTCATTTGTAAGGAGCACACAGAGCTTGGGATTTGTACATCTCTGTTTTATTGTATGTTTTTGTTTTTATAAATATAAATAAAGGGATCCACCGATACCAGTTTTGCGAGTACGAGTACTGATACTTGCCCAAGTCCTCACAGATACAAGTACTGATACATTTTTGTTTATTGTCATGTGACAGTTTTTCTAAAACAATACAGACTAATGATTTCAGGACAGTGGTGGAGCGCCAAAGCCTGGTCCCAGCTGCAACCCTGGTGGTTCTCATGAAATTGGCAAGTATCGGCATTGGTACTCGAAAAGTATCGGTGCATCCCTAGTTAAAAGGATATGTGCATTAATTAAAGGAAGTTCATTTATATTTGCCTGAAGTTCTTTTAAAGTGAGTGTGTGTTAAATGTCTCCTCTTTAACTGAGATGGGTAGTGTTGACCAAATAGTGTGATGTTTCCTTTAAGTTTCCTTCTGCAGCCTCTCCTCAATGTTTACTAAAAAATAATGATTGTTTTTGTTTTTTTTCAGCCCCGTACACCATCATCACCTTCCCCTTCCTCTTTGCTGTCATGTTCGGTGATTGTGGTCACGGCCTGGTCATGTTCGGATTTGCAGCCTGGATGCTTTTGAATGAGAAGGAGCTTCTGGCCACAAAAGTTGACAATGAGGTGAGATCAAATCATAGATTCTTCCGAAATTTATCAAACTCACCAAAAATAGGAAACTAGTGCTTTTTTGACATGTTGGTTCCTGGGGCTGTAATGGGCCATCAAAGGCTCCACCAGTTCAGATTATCTGCAGACACTGGGCTCTCGGCATCCTGAGTTTCATCAGTTCCCTAGCTTCCTTTTTTTCCATTGTTCATGCTCCCTAGGATAGCTCAGTCCTGTGCTGCAGGTATGTGGGGAAAAAGGGAACACATCTAAAGGGTTGCTGGGGTTGCCTTCTTTCATATCAGACTTGTCTCCTCCCCACAGCACATTTTCTTTGGTACATGCTTCAACACTTTAATAAAGCATGTGATGTATAGCAATTGTAGCGATAACTACCAGCAAGGAGCCGCTGTTTGCCCGGTCCACATCCAGTCGGTCTCGGGGTTGATTTCTAGCTGCGCCCATTAGCACTAACCACCCTCTTCTGATGCCCATAAATTGATGTCCACTTCAGTAGTATGATCCTAAGGAAACAGTTTATTGAACATCTTGCTTTGGGAGAGAGGATATAGGGGTTCTAGGTGTCTAGGGGTAACCATCAGAAGCTCCAGACTCACCAGACCTTGTAAATGTAGCAATGCAGATCCACTTGACCACATCAGATAACCACTGATGTACTAGACAGTCCAGATGGATGCAGATCCTCAATCCAAGGAAAGTATCACCGACCATGCTCTGAAGTCCACATAGATCCAGGGTGCCTTAAGAGCCTACACTGGTCCTGGTTCTTTTCCTCTTTCCATCTCTCAGGCCTCCTCCATGTTGGAGGCCTCAGGGAAACCTCTTCCCTCACTTCAGCCTATGCCCGCCCCCAGGCCTCGGCCTAGCCTGGGGGGCAGGCTGAACAGGACCCAGCCCTAATCCATGGCTGGTCCAGGCGAGAGAGACCCCAAATGGCAGCTCCCACCCATATATGTACACTATCATACCAGGCACCACTGACTGTAAGAAGGCCAGTGACTGGCTGCTGTACTGTACACATATTACAGTGTCCACCATTGGCTGTCCCACAATATGACAGAGTCACACTCCGCCCAAGGGGGTACAGACAAGGTTAGACACCTGGTATTAACCATGTAATCACCACTACAAATCCAGCCAGGCTGTCTACAGCCCAGGCTATCACTAAATGCATAGTAGTCACATCACAAAAGGTGATGGGCGCTACACTAACATGAATCCAAGGCTGCTGGAATGGTTTAAGAAACTTGACAGCCCATTGTTGTCACACAGGTACGCTTCTTATTTTAAGGCAAAGTCTAGAAAAAAAAAACTACCCGGACTCATTCATAATATAAGGTTCTGTGCGCCTCTTTTATGGTTCCTGCTTCAGCGGTTGGAAATCTTTTTCCATCAGCTGTTGAGATCAAATTTCTAAAATCAAGGGAAGATGATGCATGAGAGGGATCATTATTAGGTCCATTATGTGTAATGGCTAGCTGGGCTGCAAAACAGTGGGGGGAATTTATCAAAGCAATTGCGACAGTTTTAGCCTCTTAGATCATTTTATTTATGTGCAAATCTGTCTTTCAACATGTGCCCCTGTTTTGACCTGAGCTTGCACTACTTTTCCAACTGCACGTGTTTTGCACCTGTTTTCATCAGAGCTTGCACTACTTTTTCAGTTGCATGTTTTTTGCAAATTTTTTGCACCTGTTTTCAATCTGCACTTGTTCTGGGCTGTCTGAAACTGGAGCATCATCTAAGAAAACAATCACAACTTAAGAAGTCCCCATGACCACTTCTTCAAGATGCGACAGTTAAGCTTTTTGCCTGGAGCTACAAGTCTTCATTCCTGGAGTCTATTAAACCTAATTTATCAACAACATATCACTAGCTTGATAAATCTGGTGCAAATATATTCCGTGCAAGTTCAAACACTCGCAATTGCTATGATAAATTCCCCGCATTGTCTCTCTCTTGTATGTGATGTATCACTTCGGCACCAACATTCATTGGATGATCCCACAGAACTATATATCTGATTCTTCTCCTCTTTCCACCTTCAGATCTGGAACACGTTCTTTGGAGGGCGATATCTGATCTTCTTGATGAGTATTTTCTCCATCTACACTGGCTTCATTTACAACGACTGCTTCTCCAAATCCTTCAACATATTCGGCTCTTCCTGGTCTGTTCGGCCCATGTTCACTAGCGGCAACTGGACGTAAGCACGGAGGTCATTCTATGTCCGTGGTCAGGCTGGCATAGATGGGGTCAGTCTACCCAGGACTGGTATTTCAGTGTTTGGTGGAAGCTGGAGAATTAATCCACCTCCCAGGTTTGGGGACTCCAGTGGTGACATCTTTGTGCTTCAGTCTAAGGTCGGCAGGCAATTTATTTTGATCTGTGAAGGATACAGTGTGGGGGATTGGGACACACTAAGTTGGGCGGGGACACCCAAAACTCAGATGAGAACAGGAAGAGAACCAGGAGCTATGGTAGTTGCATCTCACCACTGCACTACCAAACCCCCACTGATAACTGAATTATCACTTTAGGATAGACTGACCCTTTTAAACAATGCCAGTCCAGAGTAGACATATGTAAAACCCTTATTATTGACTATGTGCAATACTCGCTAGCAATTAGTAGCTGGGCAATTTGAATCAATGATCCCTATAGTTAAAAGCTTCTGTGTGTGTCCAGCCTAAGCCAGATTTCCCTACTGAATCGGAGGTCAAAGGTTACCTGAACTCTGACTGGTGCTATCCTGTCAACTGCCTGACCTGACACACCATCTCCCAGCTCCTGATAGTACATTACAGTTGTATAGGATCCTAAATCTATTCACTGTCATGAAATACAAATGTATACACAAAATGTACACAAGCACAGGCAGGGCAGTATTTAGACCCCATACAGCTCACACTTCACTGATGGTACCCTTTTGTACTGCCCCTTGCGTGATGATATTAGTACAAATTAATATAATAAGTGATTGGAGGAAGCATATGGACCGGAAAAAAGAGTTGGTTTCATGTTTTCGAGTCTTCTGACTCCTCTCAGCATCCCTTGCACCACCTTCCACTGACACTCCCTGCATCGCATCCCACTACACTCTCTGCATCCTCTGAACTGTGCACCACTACACACTCTGCATCCTCTAAACTGTGCACCACTACACACTCTGCATCCTCTGAACTGTCCCCCACTACACACTCTGCATCCTCTAAACTGTCCCCCACTACACACTCTGCATCCTCTGAACTGTCCCCCACTACACACTCTGCATCCTCTGCACCTT